CAATCACCTCATGTGCATGTGAAAGCTGGACAATGAATATGGAAGACAGAACAAGAGTTGATGTCTTTCAATTGTGGTGTTGGTGAATAACACTGAAAATACCATGGACTACCAGAAGAACGAACAAATCTGTCCTGGACGAAGTACAACTGGCATGCTCCTTAGAAGCAACAATGGCCAGACTTTGTCTCACCTACTTCGGTTCTGTTGTCAGAAGAGACCAGTCCCTGGATAAGGATGTTATGCTTCATAAAGTGGAAGGTCAGTGAAAAAGTAGAAGACCCTCAACAAGATGGATGGACACAATGACTGCAACGACGGGCTCAAACACAGCAAGGACTGTGAGGATGGCGCAGGACCGGGCAGTGTTTTGTTCTGGGATAGAGTTGCTATGAGTCAAAGCTGACTTGATTACACCTAACACATACACATTTAGATTGACACTCACTGGCTGTTTTTTCTGAGATGTGCTGCCCTTACACCCTTTGTATTCTCTTAGCCATTTAGAGATAAGCACCACCAATGGCACTGGCTGGGTATGCAGAAACACTATTTAAAAAGAAAAACACAAGCTCACCCAGAAAACAGGGCAAGGTCCTTGGAGAAGCTGCAGGAGAACAGGATTCTTTCATGACCCGTCTGCCAAGCTGCTGGGTTTTTCTACTACTTGCTCATGGGAAAATAACCAATTGAGGGTTAATTACAGGATCAAAAACAAGCTACTCTATACATTGACTCAAGGATTCTCAATAGCATTACAAAACACTGAGAAGGAAGAAACAAAGAAGATGCTTCTCTCATATCCAGAAAGATGACAGGAGACTCTTTTCTCATTTGTCTGGTAAGGAGGACTTCCAAGGTTTTCTTTGAAAGGTCAGGCTACTACAACAGACTTCACTGACAGAATGTTGTTCTGGATTTTCACCTTTACCTTACGACCCTGTATGCCTTGAAATGTCAAAGAGAAAGGCTGCAGGGGAAGCTCTGTTTGAAAACAACGTGTACCACACATGACCCATCTCTTCTGTGAGCTTCATCCTGCACACAGCTACATTCCTGGTCTTAAATCTTTGGATTGCAAGACCAGCTCCCTATCTCTGCCATCTCCCTTCTCCCAGTTTAACTCCCTCAAGATACCGCAAGCTTCAGGCATCATTAGAGAAAGCCTAGGGTCTGGAATACGTAATCCTTTGCTATCTGGCATTCTACACTTGGTAGGGTTTAAGTGGTGTTAAATTTGAGACATATGTTTGCATGATGGAATAAAGGATACTGGGAAATGACCCTGTTTAACAGACTATTAGAAGCCAACTTCTATACTCATAGTTCAGATGCCATGGACAGAGTACGTCAAGCAGCAAAGGGGGGAGCACAAGATCTGGAGGATGCTTTAATCCTCTAAATTTTATTGAAAGACCATATCTCAATTTTGAACGACTCACAGAAACATGAAGTCAAGAGAAGCACGATGCACATTGCATGCTACAGATAAGGTATCAGAACTAAAGCCAGTTCCTATGTGGAAAGCATGTGGGAGTGTTCTGGGAAATAAGGATTTCTTCCCAGAGCTAGAAAAAAAATCTTAGGATGAGAAGATTTTGACAAAAGGTATAAACATAGAAATGATGAGACAGAATATATGCTGCTTTCCTTCACTTGAAGGAAGTTAAGGGTTCTTTCCACAAATCCCTCAGGCCCGTAAGATGGTGGTGGAAGTTGGCACTTCAAACTTTACTTTTCTCAGGTCTCCAACTTTCCAACCATCAACAACAACAACTTGCTGACCACTTATGATTTGCCTAGCACTACTCTTATTTTCTTTGAAGACATAGTGTGAAGGATGAGAAGAGAGGTGACTAGAAGATGGCAGGGTGATGGAGGCATAGGGATACTGCAATTGGAGTTAGGAGACAGGGTGGTGATGAGAAGACTGGGTTATTCACAGATTGGGGGCTGGCAAAGAGGAAATGAGCCTCACCTTTGGGCACTCAGGACTCTATACCCACGCATCACTAGGTATTTAGATGAGTAGAAAATGTCACACCTAAAACTACTCTCAGGTCTCAACATTCTCTCTCATAATCTAAGAGTTTGCTACTTGGTTGCTTCATTAGAAAAACTTAAAAACAAGACTATCTCTACAGCTAAAGGTGGCTCTTGGAAGGGGAATGCAGTGTTCCCACAGAAGCAGGTCACTTCTCTTCCCATGGGAAAGTCAATTCTTCCCACTTTACAGAAATAGAGAACAACTCAAAAGCATACAACTAGGTATTCAGAGCAATTTTAAAACCTGCGCTCTTAGCAGAATGGATGGTTCAATTCAAATTCCATGCCCAGAATTCCAATAGGTTTGCACCAGAGCAGTATTTGTCTGTCTGTCTCTCACGCACACACTCGCACATCACACTTTATAATTGGCTGTCTTCATTCATTCATTCAGTGCCAGGCACTGGGGACAGAAATAAATAAGATACTTTCTCAAGGAGCTCGTGGTCCAGTTGGAGACAGAAATGTATAATCAGACAACTGCAATCATTTACGCACTATTTGTCTTAACAACAGGAAATACTACAAGAAATGCTAAGTGAGGAAACTGTAAATCTGTAACTCTCATGAAACAGTGATCACCAGTAGCCTCTGGTATTAAATCAAAGACAAGGAGAAGATGCATCCCCACCCCAACTCCAGCTCTTGGCTTTTCGACTCAGCATTTTACAGATCTTGCGAAGAAGCCTGATACTCTCAGAACCAGTGCTGGAATTACTGTCAACAGTTCACAGGTCAACACTCAACTGCTCTTTATTTTGTGTTTGGGTAATTTTTGGCTACCCAAAAAAACTTTACGTCTTCAGGCCAGGTATCATGCCTTGTGTTTCTTTAATCTCTTACAGTGTCTAGAACTATCCTGGGTACAAAGTAAATGCTAAATACACAGTGTCTTTTGTGAAAGGGGTTAAGTGGAGAGATGCTGGGTAGCCTGTTCCTCTACAAAAGTTTATGGGTCGGCAGATCTACATTCTACACTCTGTCTGATACTTTAAAGAGTGGGGTAGGGAATGGACCCCTCATTGGATGGCCACAGCAGAAGACAGCATAGTGTGGGTAAATGGTTGGTGGTGAACTGCAGTGAATTTGGAATATCAGCTCCATGGCTGAAGCTCAGGATACAGACAGGCCTCAAGCTCTTTACACCTTGTAAGGTTCTAACGTTTGGAAATGGATGTACCACTACCGTGACATGTAACAAATTCCATCCTCAACTGCTTAAAAGCCTTCAATGGTTCCCATTGCACCTAAAATAAAATCCATTTCTTCAGCCTCATTCTGCCCCCGCCCACTTTTGCCAGTCTTAATTTGCCCCCTCTCCCTTCACCCACCATGCTCCAGCTCCACTGGCTTTCTGGATGTTTTTCAAACATGCCAAACTCTTGCCTGCACTAAGGCCCTTACACTTGCCTTTCCTTCTCCCTAGGCCCTCTTCCTGCTTTCTGAGTACCTGACTCCTCCTCCTCTTTTAGATCTCAGGTCAAATATTTCCTCTTCAGAGGGGCCTTTCTACGCCATCTTATCCAAAGCGATCCCTATCTCATTCTATTACTTGTTAACAAACCAACCATTCAATTTATTCATGTACCACGCTCTAAAATTATTATGTTTCTTTGTTTATCACCAGTTTTCCCCTCACAGAATATAAACCCCCTGAGAGCAGGAGCTGGATTTATCCTGCTGTATACACTGGCACTATTAGCTACTCAAGTATTCTGAATGAATGTGTGAATGGAAGTTTTCAAGGCAGTAGTCAGCAGGCACTGAGTGAAGGTGACAAGCATCAGCTCTCTCCCACAATGAAGGCACACAAGGGTTGTGTGACAAAGTTCTTTGACAACTTCATTGGGACGTGGTGACAATAAAACACAAACAGAAAGAAAGAAGAGGGAGAGCCTATGCTCTCTGCTGATGACTTAAAATGCTGGTTCCAGTTTCTACTCAGTTTGTAATGCTGTTTGGTCCTAAAAGCAAAATGTCTTAGTTCCACCAGATCCTAAGGTCTGGTTTCATTTCCCCCAAGTGATGCAGTTCTGCACACCCTGAGGCCAGTCAGGGATAACCCCCTCAATGACTCCACCCAAACCTACCCTCACCCATCCAGCCACAGGACATCTTTGAGTCTGGACATCAGAACTGTGCTTGACTCACAATATAAGGAGGAAAAGACCTTTCTCTACTCAAGAACCTGAACACTAAGGGAAAGTGTATAGAAGAAGTGGTCTCTTCTTCACCAACCCAGCTAAGATCTGCCCCTCCTATAAGGAGAAGTGTGACAGGGCGTAGAAACCCTTTTGGCAAGTGCAATTCGAAAGTTACAGATGATTCAAATTACATTCTATTATGGACTAAATAATGTCCCCAAAACTGTATGTTGTAAATTCTCATCTCTAAGCCTGTGGTTATAATCCCATTTGGGAATGTGTTGTCTTTGTTATGTGAATGAGGCAGGATCGGTGTAGGGTGTATCTTGAGTTAATCTCTTTTCAAGCAGAGCAGAGACAGGTGAAGGCACAGGCCAAGCCTCCGGATGAAGATCACCCGGAGGAAGAGGCTGAAAGACACAAGGGCCTACCTCCTCCAGAGCTCACAGAGGGAAGCCTTCCCCCAGAGCCAGCCCTGAATTCAGTCTGATTCCTGTTAAGCTGTGAGAAAATAAATGTGTTTGTTAAAGCCACCCACCTGTATTATTTCTGTTATAGCAGCATTAGATAGCTATGACACATCTTTTAAACCTAATGCTGTTTGTTTCACTGTACTTAAATAAATAGGGCCATCAGCTGAACTATTTGGTGGTTTAGAGTCCCTGGGCCAGGAACACCACAAGAAAGGGAAGACCGGGAAGCAAACCCGCATCTTCTGTTTTGCGTTCATGTTTCCCATGACCCAGCGGGCACTCCCAAGCTGGGAAGCACTCAGAGCACGCCGAGAGAGAGGCACAGAGAGGCACTTACGCGGCATGATCCCTTGGCTCACCAGCTCCTCCCGGGTCCGGCGCTGCTGAAGCTTCAGCTGCAGCACTGCAGGGCGGCAAAGAGAGCGGAGAGACGGAGGGTCAGCGGGGGGCACCACCACAAAAGACACATTTTCAAATGCAAAAAACGTCTCAAAACAGGAGAGTGTAGTGTGAAAGAGGGTCCCCTTTAATTGTGACTGTAATTGCAGAAGTGGCCTGATACGGCAGGGTTTCCGTATTCTGCTGTGGGCGGCAAGAGGAAGTTGCAAAGGGTCTTGCAGGGCGATAACAATCCACAAAGTACAGAAGTCTTGCCTCTTGCTCAAAACCTTTAACAACACTGTGTCTTCTTAAGACTAAAAAACACACATTCTTAAAGAAAAGAAAATGAGTCGCGATCTAGCATCTGAAAAGCTTTCTAGAGGTCCCACACTTTCTTCCTGGAACTGTGAATACAGCTATTTGCACAGATCGGGCAGTATTGCTTTTTTATAAAATCTTCTCTTTGACATCTAAAAACCATAGCTATTTTCATCAAGAAATGGATCTCTCTAGATCAGTAAAGATTTTACTGTTGACACAGGCCCTTTCTTCCTCTTACCCCCTCAGTAAGAACTTGTTTCAGTTGAGGTGAAACACCCAAAGTGCATCCGGGCAGGAGGAGGGTGAAGTGTTTTCTCCTCTTTTCACTCAGGCAGCATTGCTTCATGAAATAACGTAATAGGGATTTTCTTTCTTCCTTTTGTTTTAAAGTTAAAAATCAACTGTCTCCATTTCAAATGCCAATGCAACCTAACAGGGTTTACAACTACATATCCTGCAGAATGACAGTGGCATGGCCTGCACTCAGAGACTAAGTGAGAAAACGGCCAGAGAAAAAGGGGTAGGGGATCCGACTTGCCAAGGAAGTCACTTACATGATAGATCTCACATTGTAGGGGACTTACAAGTCACATCTGAGGGGAACATGCATTTATTGGGAATCGTACCATTTTAACATTTGCCTTTTCCACCCACACAGCAGTTTGTAAGAAGGCTGCCAAGAATGGCAGCACCATAACTAGGTGCCTGCCTATATCTTTGTAAGTCTGAAGTAGAACTTCTTTCTCCCAAAAGCCTAACCTGCATCTCTTATCTCTCTAATGGTATCACTGTGCTCCCTGGAACTAACTCATCTTAAAAATTTGAAGCCAGCTTCACCTCTTCCACCTCCTGGTGCTCCAGTCTTACCAACTGTATCTTGTTTTGCACAAGTTACAGGAACAGTTCACTTGCTTGTGTTCCTGAATGTGCTGTGCTCAACCATCAAATTCACCCTGTTCAAAGTAGGGCAGGTGCTGTTCCTTGAGCACCACGTACTTTGCCACTTCTGGGACTTCTCTTATTCATTCACTTCACCTGGAAATGCCTGTCCTCTTCATGTGAATTCCCACATGGCTGTCCATTGTGTCTCACCGGTTGTCAAAGGTACAGTACTATTTTTCCCTGTGGAATGGTTACCCCTCTATCCTACTAGGTTACAAACTCCTAGAGAGCAGGGAATGTATCTTATTGATATATGTCCTCCACAGCACTTAACACAGCATTTGATAATTGCTTCTTCAACTTGATCTCAAAGTGATGATACAGATAGTCTGAGAAATCAAATCAGAGTATTACTATTTTACAAATTAAAAATGTTAAAAAACACAACCTTGGACAGTAAAATAGATAAAAATAGTGACAGCCACACTAATAGTTAGTCATTATGGAGCACGCACTCTGCCAGACACTGTTCTAAGTACTTTTGTTTCTTCGCACATTTAATCTTCATAACGTCCCTATGGGGAGTTGTTGCTGTGTGCCATCAAGTTGATTCCGATTCATAGCGACCCTAAAGAACAGAGAACTGCCCCTGTAGTTTCCCATGCAATTATCTTTACAGCAGCACATCACCAGGTATTTTCTCCTGCAGAGCTGCTGGGAGATTTGAACCACTGACCTTTCTTGGTTAGCAGCCGAGTGCTATTAACGAAGGTTCCTTTATGGAACTCTACCAGGGTTCCTTTATGGAGAGTGAGGTATTATGGATTCCATTTTACAGTTAAGGAAACTGAGACCTAGAAGAATGACATAATTTACCTAAGGCTACCTCACTAACTAGAGGTGAAGCAAGGATTTGAACTAAAGCATTTTGATTTTAGAACCTGGGCTCCTACTCTGCTTCTCTAGGAGGAAAAAAAAAACAAAACCTCACTGCTGTCGAGTTGATTCCAACTCATAGTAACCCCTCCTTGGGTTTCTGAGGTGGTATCTCTACAGAAATAGATTGCCCATCGTCCTTCCAAGGAGTGGCTGGTGGGTTTGAAGTGCCGGCCCTCTGGTTAGCAGTCAAATGCCTTAGGCACTACGCCACCAGAGCTCTAGACACTTCCTAAAGCATACTGAGAGAACAGGTGTCACAACAGAGTGATTGCCTGGGTTCCCTCTCTAGTGAGACAGATAAGGGGTCCAAGGGTCAAAGGAGTTCGGGTGATCCACAGTGAAATATATCTAATTAATCCAGGACTTGATTCCAGAATAAATTATACTTCTAGAATAAATTATACCAACATATCAGAAGCAACAACAATTATAATAACAAGACAAATAATAGTTAGGAGTCACTGAGTGTTACCGTATGTCAGGCCCTAGGTTAAGTGCTTGACATGCTTTTAACTTATTAATCCTCAAAAACAACAAAAAAATTAAAAATTAAAAAAAAAAAAGTAACCCTGTGAGGGCTGTACAATTATCATCTCCACTTTAGAGATAAGAAAACTGAGGCTCAGGCATGGGATATTCTGCCTTAGCTCACAAAGCCCCCAGCTGGGGCTGAGCTTCATGCGAAGAAAGAGACAAAGAGGAGAGTCAAGCAGGACAAAGTATCAAGGGAGAAAATGGCAACTATTTGCCATCTTTTCTGGCTTTTCTAAGACACAGTGTAGATGAACTATTAGAAAATGATTACCATACAAACTGGGAGCTCTGGTAGCATAGTGGCTAAGACACTTGCCGGCTAACCAGACGGCTGGCGGTTCAAACCCACCGGCCACTCCTCGGAAGGAAGGTTGGGCAATCTTACTTCCGTAGTGATACTGCCTCGGAAACCCAAGGAGGGGTCGCTATGAGTCAGGGCCGACTCGACGGCACATAACAACAACAACAACAACCATACAAACTACTTCGATTTCAGAGAACAGGGAAATCTTGTATGATTCAGGACGCTCAAACACTTCAGAGAAAGAAGAATTAATGAAAGCAATGGCTATTAGCCAAGAATAATTTTGGAAATACCAATCGGCAGCCCTCCTAAGTGCAACCACACACAGACAGGGTTGTAAGAGTTATTACACAAACTTCTTGACTGAAAAACTTCTTGCTTCATGAAAGCAAAAATTTAAGCCTATGAAAGCTAACACAGTTCTTTAATCAATTTCTGATTCAAGTTTTTATGGACAGTAAAGGCCTATTGTGCTTCTTTTTACGGCTCTAGTTCGAAGAAGGTGGTTTACCTAGAAAACCTTTTCTATTTCTAAAACTAAATAGAATTAAAGTTCAGTTATCTGAAAATTCCATCATGTCCCTCCTAGCTATTAATAACTCCTGCTTATCTGAAATCTGACCTAGTTTCCCATTCAAATAATAGAATTTACCCCACATCAGTCTTATCTTGGGTATGGCTACAATTTCATTGTAGTGCCTAAGGCATATGACTGCTAAATGACTGCTAACCAGAAGGCTGGCAGTTCAAACCCACCAGTCACTCCTAGGAAGGAAGATTAGGCAATCTACTTCCACAGAGATACTGCCTTCGAAACCCAAGGAGGGGTCGCTATGAGTCAGATCCAACTGAAGGGCAGTGGGTTGTTTTTTTTTTAATTTATTGTTTTATACATTGCATCATGCTCTCCAGTGAACTCTAAAAATGTTTATAAGGACGAAGAAACAAACCCAAGCACCAAACTCAGTATTTATAGTCACCAATCTATATTTCATTTTATTTTGTAATTTATCTGGTTGGTTGTGTATATATGCAGTAGTCCTTCTAATACTTTCAACAACTATGAAGAAATGTCTTTTTACAGAAATTCCCTCTTCCTTGTTATTGTTCCTTCCTTAGTCTATCTTAATTCCTCTTAATTCTAAGCACTCTAAATAAAATGTCTTTATGTTTCGAGACCTTAGGGATTACTCATTGTAGAAGAAATCATTTAATAACTCACTTCCAATAACCATCTCAAGAGTCCTATGTTCTGTAGTCACTGAAGGAAGTACCCAAATCAGAAGTACACCTCAGAGCCCATCAAATGAATATATACCCACACTCACCAAGAAATATTTAAAAGTAGTTCAAATGATTATTTTTACAGGTAGTAATAGATCAAGGAGATTCTAGAGAAGAGAAATTTGATGTCATCTACTACACTGTACATCACCACTTACATCCCTTCTCCACAGCCTAAAATAACAACTAAACAAAAATACTTATTTGTTTACAAGCATGAGTCTTTCTTTATATCTTCAATGTTACTGAACTCTAGAAATGTAACATATCAACTGTTTCTAAAAGGGTCTGCAGTGAGCAGCCCATATATAAAGAGATGTCTTTAAAGCTGATGGATAATGAACCAGCTGAGTTGCCTTTCAGAACAGGGTCAGAATAAAGAGAAAAGAAACCAAACCATATAGTGCGAACCTGTGGCTCTCCACTCCTCGTGGAAAGAATCAAGTTTTCCATTGGCCTCCAAAAAAGCTGATCTTCTGTTATTTGAGTAACTGGCTACTTGGGAAATCAAAGCCCTGTAATTTCTACTGTAAGAACATGGAAGCATGTTGACAGCATTCAATGGGCAATGCTCAAGAACTAGACACATCAAACAACTGGGTTGATCAAGACTGGGAAGAAAAAGAAAACAGAAGTGAGGTGTTCTCAAGCCCAACTCGATGGTTCGCAACAGTCCTCGTTCTGGGTTTCACTGAGAAAGGAGAAGCACAGCTTTCGGTGGGCTGTTCCCGCCACGGCCATTTACTGGTCAACCAAGG